ATTCTCTCTCTCTTTCTTTCTATCATTCTCTCTTCCTTCCTTCCTTCCTTTCTCTCTTTCTTTCTTCCTTCCTTCCTTCCTTACTTCCTTCTTTTCTTTTCAATCTTTCTCTCTCTATCCTTTTTTGTCCTTTCATAGAAACTCGGTCACTAAAACATCCATACAAAATTCAAAAAAAAAATCAAATTTTAAATAGCCACAAATATTCCGGGCGGATAGATAGTAATTCACGACACTTCAAACCGCAAAGTGATTGATATTCTATTTAAAAGCTACTGGCTTCCCACTGCTTGTCTTCAAAAGCACTCTTAATAAAAACATACGTCTGAGGGCACATATAAAGTCAATACAATTTAAGGATTAAGAGAATGAATTCTCGATCTTTCTCCGATATTTGGCGAATTCAATGCTGAAAGTAGATCGATTCGCTGATATAAGAGCAATCGAAAAAAACCTTACTGATTAATATTGAAACGACAAGTCTTAATTAAATTGTTGATAAAAATAAGTTTAGGTAGCAATAAATAAGACTAAAAAAGTACAAAATGGTTTGCAAACAAAATATTTTATTGCAGTTAGGGTTTGAGTTCCGTTTTTTTTCGATGTCCGCGTTTCGTCGTTTGCCGATTTTTCACGTTCTTTTCGGTTCTCGTTCGTTCGTTTAACGTACATTTTGTAATTCATTCTTTTTCTCTTTTTTTTTCGCAACCTTATATATCGATAAAATCTATCTGTTTTGTCTCCTTCAAGATAAGCGCTGCTTTTTTTACTAACAAAACGTAAACAACTCTGCGAAATAATAAACTCTAAAACTAAAATTTTTTTTCGATCGTAGCGGCAATTAAGAGTCTTACAACCAATTAAATTAGCTAAAATTACAGAAATTTAGGTCTACAGTGTTAATTATACCCGGCAAAGATTAGAATTTTATCATATAAATGGAAAGTGCAGGGTACTGACTTACGACACGCACATGGTGTGTATGCTAACAGTGAAATGGCTTCCCATAACAAGCATGGTTATCGTACTACAGCGAAATGGCTTCCGATTATGACAGTTTCGTGTAAAGCAGTGATAGTACAGCGCTGACATACAGCACATATTCATACGGCTCTATATATTGTAACAGTGAAATGGCTTCCCAAAACGAGCATGGTTATCGTACTACAGTGAAATGGCTTCCGATTAGGATAGTTATCGTATAAAGCGGTGATAGTGCAGTGCTGACATACAGCGCATACACAGCTCTTTATGTTGTAACAGTGAAATGGCCTTCCATAAGAATGGTTATCGTATATAATGATAATGATAATAATAATAATGGGAAGTTCTTGTTTAGCGCATTCATACGACGTCTCAATGCGCTTTACATTAATGACCAGTGGAGGACTTTACGGGCTGCATATTAAGGCGCTAGTAGCAGCCGTGCAGCTTACAATCATGAGTGATTTGTTAGTACATTAGTGTTATGCCTCTAGACAGGGATAGGCTGTTTGTTGAACCGGGAGACAATCCCCTACTCTTACACGAATGATTCAACAGGTTCTTTTATGTCCCCCATATGTAACAGTTAAATGGCTTCCGATACGAATGGTTATCGTATAAAGCGGTGATAGTACAGTGCTGACATACAGCACATACACGGCTTTGTATGTTGTGACAGTGAAATGGCTTCCCACAAAGTGTGAAACGTATGGTTCAGACTGAGAGAAATCACAGGCTACAATATGCCGTAGCACTGAAATGGCTTTCGATATGAATGGCTATCTATAGATGGAATACCTAAGGAGAGGATACGGTATCCCTCAACTGAAATGGATTTCCATGAGAATGGATAACGTAAGTAGGGGAATGTAAAGTGATCTCTTATAGAGCAGCAACGCACAGGGTAAAACATCCTGTAGCACTGAAATGGCTTCCCATACGAATGGATAACAAAAGCGGGGGAATTCACCGGTATGATTTGGTTATGGCTTAGAGCACTAACAGGGTACATAATCCTGTAGCACTGAAATGGCATCCCATGAGAATGGCAATGCTATGATGTGGATTTCACGGCACGATATGCATAACGGCTTCCATTATTTTCCATTCCTCACATGCAACGCTACTTGGAAAATTATTACGTTGGAATAAGAAATATGCCAAAATTATTCACGTTAATGGAGCAAAATCTTACCAAATTTTTGCCTTTGAAATGCTTAGGGCGAATTTTCATATCAAAAAAACGTACGATATGAGGACTTTGAAATGGCTTTCGGCATCTAATAATCCTTATTGGATGGTTTCATTTGTATCTGGTCAATAAATTTTAACTAACGGATATTAATAGGCCGTATTATGAACATGATAAATTGTGGGTGTTAATATATACTTTATCACTAGATATTTAGAACGGACAAATTAATAAATATCTGAGGAATATAGGAGATGAATTAATTTGATGCAATTTTAGAGTTTTTTAAAAACATTCATTCATTCGTTCGTTAACTTGCCTTTCTTTGTCCCATTTATTCACTAGTTTATTTATTCATTCGCCATCATCTATCTATCCATTCATGATTCAGTTATGCTTTCTTCCCAACAATAAGTTTTCATTTTATGCAGTCGCTCGTATATTCTATCTTCCATCCATCCATCCCATCCCATTCCTCCATCCATCCGTCCCATCCATCCATCCCATTCCTCCACCCATCCATCCCATTCCTTCATCCATCCATCCATCCCATTCCTCCATCCATCCATCCCATTCCTCCATCCCGTCCATCCTTCCCATTCCTCTATCCATCCATCTCATCCATCCATCCCATTTCTCCATCCATCCATCCCATCCATCCATCCACCCATTTCTTTTTTTATCTAATCAGCCCCTATACATATCTCTAACTTAACTGTATTGCAAACTACACACTAAAGCGCATTCATTCATTTAAATTCTCATCTCCAAATTCTTACAAAAAGCTGAGCCTCTTAGCATTATCCTTAAGAAATGAGACAACCTCGATTACGGCCGATGGAAATTATACTTAATACATTCTCGTCGCGTACACCACGAAATGAAAACGAAAACGTGACTCATAAAATTAAAAATGCACAGTTTTCAGACGCAACGAGTTGAAGAAACCGAAACGCAATACTGAAAGTAATACTTTTGAAAATTTCCAAAACACGACTCTTAAATGATTAAATTAATTGCAAACTAGGAAAGGAAAATAATACGAAAGGAAAAGACCTGATCTTATGAAATGCGTTCATGGTAATGTTTTCAATCGACGGATAAGCGAAAGAGTTGGAATTAAACTCGATCGAGGGGATTCTTACGATGAAACGGCGATCGACCAATATTCCGAAGTAACTGAGAAAACAAATACTAAATTTCCAAAAAGGTTAACTTATATCGAACTAAATTAATTTTTTTGGCCACGTCAATTATACGAGAAAGAAGAATTAATTGCAAAAAATAAATCCCCCCCCAAAAAAGAGAGAGAGAGAGAAGAAAAAGATGTTTGCAAAGTTCAGGAAATGAAATCAATCAATCGTATCATCCCTGCTTTCTTTCGTTTTAAAATATCCAATTTATAGGCAGAATTGCAGGAAGCTTAACAGATGAAAAGTCTAAAACTCTACAAAACCTATATTGCATTTTTTATTATTTAAATGAGGTATAAATCAGTCTTATACTTCGAGAAGAGAGAGAGAAAATGTGAATACACTATAAACGTAAAATTTTCGCCTTTGCAACTTAACCTAAAATAGTGAAAAAATAGCTGAATATTTGAAGTTAAAAGTCGTCCAATTTTGTAAGAATAATTAAGTATTCTGTATTCTTATGTAGCGAAAACCAAAAAATCTTTTTTTAGTTATAAATTCCAAGGGAAAAATTTATATTGAAAAAAGTACGACAGGATTGTTTTGAGAATTAAGTGAGAGACTTAAGTCTTAAACGGATCCTTTTTGGAATATCAAACTTTACGAGGAAAAAGAATTCACTATTAATAGTTCACTTGGGAAGTTGACGAAGACGAAATAATTTCTTACAATAATTTAGCCATTTTTTTGGCTAAAAGAAGAAGAAAAAAACGAGGAAAGCTTGTATTGTCAGAGGACTTATATACAAAAACTAAAATAACAAAATGTTCAACGATACAAATGTTTATATAAAGAAATGACGGTAAAAAGTAACATATTAAGAAAGTATTGAAAATTCTCGACGTCGTTTTTTCGCTAATCTTCACTAGTATATATTCCTACAAACTAGTTTTGAATAATCTATGAAATATTTTTTTGCTAATCTTCACTAGCATATATTCCTGCAAACTAGTTTTGAATAATCTATGAAATAAAACATAATAAAAATTTTAGCAAAAAAATTCAAATTTCGCTCTAATTCAGTAATAATTTCAACAGCAAAGAGTAATGATCGATTGATAGCACGTCAGTTACAATAATAATAATAACACTTATAGAAAATTGTAGATTTAACAAAGTTGCCGACTCTGATTTTACAGCAACTGAAAAGTTTTTTCTTAGATGGGAAATTAAAAGAGAAACCATGCCAAAATATAAAAAGCCGACTTCAAAAACCATGACATAATGAATCAGTCTTAACACACTACGTCAGGAGAGTTCATGTATGAGTGAATTTATACAAGCACGGCCGCTGAAGAACGTTTTTCAAAAAATTGAAATTCCTGTATTTTCAACCACTAACTTTGAATTCAATTTAACTGAGATAAATATTACTTAGCGATATAAATATTTATAGCTTTTATTAAAAAAATAAATTTCTGAATACGATTGCTTGGGGTATATTGAAAAAAAAAATTAACAGATGCTATAAAACCATTCATAAGCAGAAAACAACGTATAAGTGAGAATAAAAACTCCGAAGGAATAAAACACTGATTCAAATAAACAGTAATCTTTATGTTGGCAAAAATTATGTTTAAACAGAGGGCTGGTTGGTTAAATATCTTAGAGTCTTTGGTTTTGCCGGCAAAGGCAGTCGATCGACCTGTCCTTCACTGGTTGTCTTTTTTTACGTGAATTTGCATTGCAAAAAAAAACTAATTTTAGCGACCAAATAACAACAGAAGTTATGTTAATAATGAAAATGCATAGACTGGTGAGCTCAATACAAGTACAAACGGCTTAAGACTTCGTAAGAAAAGAAGAAAGAATAGTACGTTTAGAAGGGGGATTATTGATTGAAGGGACTGATAAGAATTTTTTCTAAAAGCCAGACATTTATGATACGTGGTTCGGAATTCATACCACGACGTTGGCCATTCAGATATAGATAGACAAAAATACCTATGGTCTAGAATTACAAGAAAATAAGATTAGTATAACCTCAGCTACGGTGTCTGTAGTAATCTAACCCAAAGATTGCAAATACAACAATCTAATACATGTGGTAAACTTAAATCTTAGTTCTGCTCTGTTGCACGATAAATTGTTCCTCATAACACCCTCATTCAATCAGCAGCGTACAAACACTTAGAACTTTTCCGTGGACTCCTATTAAGATCGTAAAATATATATATATATCGAAGCATTTTGGCCACGCTATTTATTTCATTTTACTGAAACCATCTCTTATAAATCGTTGAAAACATCAAAATTATTTTTTGTCAAAAACATGTTGACGAAAAGACCAAGGAATATAAGTACGTAGATGATTATGGTTCGTGCCATGTTTAAAATAAATCGACTATTCTTTGTGAATTGAGCTGCTGTTTAGTAGACAGGGGTTTAGTTACAAAAAGGTTCATAAATTATACAACAAGTGACGATATCAGTATAGAAGTCATCAATTTTCAAGATGTTTTCTTGGTCGTTTATTCGTTTCCCATACAACGTAAAAAAAAAAAACACAAATAATAATTCTGGTAAAAACAAAAGCTTTTAGGTTTGGAAGCTTATATTTTGTAATCAAAAACAACGAAAGTGTTCATAGACCTCAAACACAACACGTACCACCACCATATGACCAAGATTCAAAAGAACGAAACTTGAATAATTATAGTGTTTTCTTGTGACGCGCGTGTCTCCGCGGAGAAACAGAAACCAACGTTTGGTAAAAAAATAACCTCGCTTGCTGCATTTACCATACTCAATCTAGGCAAATAAATAATTTTCCTGGATTCTCAAATCTATAGACAACAAGACTGCAATTAAGCTTTTTAATCAAGAAAGACGGATAAGCAGTTTAACATCTTTTTCTGAGCCAACAAATAGAAGAAAATTACCGCTTCGCCACGCCAGACTCAAAGCTCATTTTACTTTCTATTTCCGCAGGTCCATCTGTTCTGGCTGCTTTGAGGACGATCGCTGAAAATCTTTCTACAATTTCGAATTATAAAAGCAAGACGGTTAATCTTCTTTACAAGATCAATCGAGGAAAATTGTTTTTAGGCCGTTTTGGTGAAATCTTTTTTGATGAAATTTTGGTTGTCGTCGAAAATAGCATAGACAAATACTTATTTGACATGGAATCTGTAAAATAATTATTATAATGACATCTTTAAATCTTTTTGAACAGGACAGAAAGAGTCAAGGCTCCAAATATTATAATTCCTTTCCTTGAAAATGGCTTTCGACTTACGAAGGAAAATTGAGATTAAGAAGTTCGAATTTGCACGCCACCTCGTTCACAGAAAACGTGAAATTACGAACGAGCAATATGTAAACGTACACAAACGAGTGAATATAAAGTCGGCAAAATTTGTGGTAGAAGATCTCTATTATCGCTTATAAAGTCCCTTTAGAGTCCGTTATTGTGGTACTTTCAGTGACACTGGAATATTTCTTGTCGAATGATGGTTTGATGAGTTCGTAAACATTACCTGCATCGAAAAAGCACTTTCGATTGTGTCACAGTTGGCCGCGAATCGTAACATGATTCCCAGTGTAAGGACTATGCTACACGACTCTAGACTTAAATTCTCCCTTCCAATGGACAAAATCAACCAAAAAATATGACCTACTCGAAGAATTATCAACCCTTAGTAAGGGAAAATTATCTACGAGTCAAAATCTCGCGATCCTAGGATGAAAAACTTGGTCGAGATTTTGGGAATGCGGCCACGACGTTAGGTAACCCAACGCCGTTCGAACACTTTACCTTGTAGATTGCCTTGTGACAAATTCAGAACTTTTACCTTTGAAACGGTTCTTACTTTCGATGGCAGAAACCTCTAAGAGGTTAAAATTAAGTTCCTTATAGTCTTATAGTCGGCAAAATTCGGATTCAGTACTTTGGGGATAGTATTTTGAACAAATTCGCACAATTAATTATTGAAGGTTGGGGAAATAAAAGTGAGCCACCAAGTCGACTCTTACCTGGAGTGTTCGCATGAAGATACGCTTGCATTAACGGTTCTGTTTTCCTTGTATTAACTCCTTCAATTCCATTCCTATCCTCTATATAGCGTAGGTTATCTGTGGATGATTCAGTAGAATTTTTTCTTTGACCGACTCTATTAATACCAATAATGCCCGCTTGATTCTCGTGAACGGTTTGATGAATGTTACCTTGATCCAATGTCTGTAACTTTGCCTTCGAAGAGCTCACTTTTTCTTGCGATCTATCCATGATCCTATCTGAGGAACGATTTGACTTGACCAAAAAGGCCTGAAAAATTCATCCAGGCATCATAGGGACGTTGTAAAATTCGACAATAAAGATGAACTAGTAGATTCAGAGGCGAAAAACGTGAAAGCTCAAGCTCTTTTGAGCCCACTCGATAGGGAGATGTTGGGGTTTATGCTTTACAAAGACGTGAACGTTAATTGGCTAAAGTTATCGCCCCCCGCGGACCTTTCTGCCACGCTCGCCAATCACACGAGGGTGAACTCTGTCAAGTTGGCCGATACTTGACACCCCTTGTTAGAAGAAACTCTTGGACGTCGTATGCACAAACTACAAGCTAAGGCATGGACTTTTGTATGTGATTATAGACTGTATACGACTGAACACACCATACTGCTTGTAGCAACTCAAGCATCAAATACGGCAATATATAAATACGAGCCTACTGATGCACATCCAAATTACCCAGCTTCCCGGACGTACTACAAACCACGTTTTCGCAGTTTATTTTCCTGTTTGGCATATCCTTTTACTAATGTTCTCTCTGTTTTTGTGATTGAAGTGTTTTTCGTATGATAATTCATTTTATTTTATCGCATAACTTAGTTGACAAGATTTGATCATTCATGGAAACGGTCTCGCGTCGTCGCAATATTTATTCTTTAAAACGTTTTCGCCTCGGGCGATAGTTTTGTCAGCTGCCAACAATAAAAAGAAGCCATAGGAAAACCTCTGTTTTGTTACAGCTTCAACAATGAAATCTTAGTTCAGTTTTACGAGTGAATATTAGGCAAGACTTCTGTTATTACGGTAACCAAATCCTTTCTGTGGAATCTAATATCTCCGAGTTCCGTCTTGTGAGCTATAATAGTCTACCAGTCTGTCACACAACAATTGATTGATAAGCATTCGGTTTCATCTTAGATATTTTTTTGAACTATAAAAGTCGTTGACAGGTATGGTTTTTTTCTAACAGAAAAATTGGCCGGTGCCAATTTGACGACCTTTTGCAAGAAAAACCAGAACCGTTTTCTAAAGAACTGAGCTCCAGACATGGTCAAAAATATATCTTTACCATGTGAACACTTAGCTATTCAGTTCCTTAATTATTTTATTTATGGTTGAATGACGAATTTTGAGTATCTGTCAACATGGTGTGACTCAGCTTTCGTGGTGAAAATTATAAAAGGTTAGAAAGATTAAAGCTGACCAAAACACGAAAGAAAAAAAAATCGAAAAAGGTGTGTAATGTTTTGTTAGGTGTTACAAAATAGTCTTTGTTTTTTGGTTTGTTTTATTACGACTGCACGTGTTTTTTAAACAACGATAAAGCCCTTAAAACAAAAACAAAAAATTCTATTTGTTTGTATTTCATTTCTTGTACATAATTTTACTGGTAACTTTGTCGAAGAGTAAATTCCCTTTTAAAATAATCTTTTCAGACGAACGGATAGACATACAAAAGTTTCTATATTTAGAATATGATGTCATAATTGTGCGAATGAAAACACTACGAGTTTCGATCGCATGAATCTTTTATTTTATATATTTTTTAGTTTCGCGTCATAATATTAAAAATTTCATCAATAAAGTAAAAAGCTTTTTTATTAAATTTTCGAGGTACGTTAGTTTGCGTGATTGTAAATTCGAAACAATAATATGAAATCGATCTTTTAAATATTCAAGCTTTTTATTTTGTTTTATTTGACTGACTTTGTTTGCATATATTAAGATTTCCCATTGCTAAGCTTATCTGTATGAATTTTAAGCACGGAAATTCTGCTTTTATGAGTAGATACCATCTAAATAAGTTGTATTGTATGATATTGAATGAATGAATCTGATCGTATGTTCTTAATATTCCTTCTCAGTCTTCTTCTTCTCCTTCTTCTTTCTCAGTTAAGAGTTTAAAGTCATTTAAAAGTAAATTCTATCACCGGTAAGACTTTCTAATATTATTTGAACGAAATATTCTCTTCGTGTTGTTTACTACAAGTTGCATATAGCAACAGTCGTTTTTTATAATCTTTTGTTTAATTTTAATCCGTTTGTTGTCATAGCTTCGTCAAATACTTGACTTTATTTACGCATTGTAAAGTGATTTTACTGAAAAAAATGATTTCCCCCCCCATTTTTCTAAAGGTTTATTAGTTAACACAGTACAGTAGGGAGACAATATGTAAAGTAAGACCAATGCGCGGTAAAAAATTCGCGCGCGTTTATACGTTTATTCGTCATTCGACTGTAATGTTATAAACATATGTGATTGTCACGTCCATTTGAGATTTAGTTCTTTAAAGTGTGGAATTGAAGGACCACGGAATGGGCGGAACACGCAGATTAACCTGCACCTTTCTGAGGTTGTTCCACGGTTTCACTGTTCCATGTTACGTATATCAAAGCCTTGGTTTACCGACACTCCGCGAATTGGAAGTGACGCCGGAGAACATTGAAGTATGGACATTTTTCAGATGGTTATATGTTTTCACTTGAACACAAGGCTAGTCAGTCCAGAACAATAGTATTTGAACATATTTTGATTTTGTATCTACAAATGAGAAAAAGTCGGGGGGATCGGAATCGATTTTAACTCGTATTATCCTTTCTCCAACAACCCACCCTCCCCCTCCCCCTCCCC